ATCTATCTATCTATCTATCTATCTATCTATCTATCTATCTATCTATCCATTTCCGTTTCCGGTGTGTGATCGTAGGTAGTAGACGTGGACTTAGACTGAGAGTGGCGCTAGTTTCAAATGGTGATCTTTTCCTTGTGTATTTCGGTTTCAAACAACTTTCCAACTGTTCTGAATGCACTAAAGCAGGTAAGTCAGGTAAGAGTAATTTGGTTTTTTCGTGTGAGTGTTAGGTAGGTAAGTGTTTGGTGAGACAGGTGTGTGTGAGGAGGCATGGCGTCCGCCGAGGCGCCTGCTCCTTCTATCAGGCAGGGAGTCAGAATCGTTCCTCCAGAACCCACTATAACTGTGGAGGAAGTTTTGTTAGCCGTGGGAGAGCAGGTAGGATATGGAAAGTTGTGTTATGCTTCGCGCATGAATAAGGCGGTTGTTGTGTTTTTGAAGGACGAGTCCACCGTCCATCAGCTGGTTGAGTCCGGAGTGATTGTGAGGGAGATGCTAGTGCAGGTTAGCCCGTTAGCAGTGCCTTCTACCCGAATCACAGTATCCGGAGTTCCGCCGTTCATCCCGAACGCGCTGCTGGAGAACGAGCTCCGCAGGTTCGGAAAAATGGCGAGCGGTTTCCGGACTGTTAGTTTGGGTTGTAAGGACCAGAAACTGAAGCATGTGCAGTCTCTGAGACGGCAGGTGTTCATGTTTCTGGAAGCCCCCACACAAACACTGGAGGTGTCATTTCGCGTTAAACACGGTGATGGGCTATACATGGTTTACGCCAGCTCGGGACACATGAAATGCTTTGACTGTGGAGATATCGGGCATAAACGAGCAGCGTGTCCACACAAACAGCAGCAAAACGGGCAAACGGTGGATAACGGAGGTGGCTCTGCTGCTTCCGGGTCCGCGAGCGGCGCTGCACCCGCGGAGCGCGCTTCGGCCGCGGGGGCGGAGCCCGCGGCGGCCGGGGCGGAGCCCGCGGCGGCCGCGGGGGGTCCGGAGGAAGCGAGCCAGATGCCCGTAGCTCGGGAACTGGTGGTCGAGAGCCCCGTGTCTGAAGCTGGGAGCTCTGTGGCTGTTGTGGAGGCTGAAGTGGAGAAGGAATGTAATGTTGAAACGGAGAAAACTGAACTGATTGAGGTGGAGAAGCAGCAGGAGGCTGCAGAAAATGTAACTGAGACACAGGTAGAAAGCACTGAAGACAGACCAAGTACCAGTGGCATAAGACAGGGAGAAGTCTGTAGTCAGATTTCATGTGCTGATGAGATGGATTATGAGACTGAGTCAGACACAGCATCCATCAGTGAAGTGGCGAGCAAAAGGATTGACCTTTATTCTTTAGAGGAAATTAATGAGTTTCTGGATGAAACATTTAACAAATCTGTGAAAGTAAGTGACTACTTTGAGGACACAGATAAATTCATTAAATCTGTAAGTATATTAAAGAGGCTGGTTAGCAATGACCTCCTAGATGAAAAGAGGCGTTACCGTCTAAATAAACATCTGGCAATCCTTAGGAAGGCTCAGAGAGGGAAAACTGTTAAAAGGTCCAAGAGAAGGATTCAACATGAATAGTCACA